ACCCAGAAATGAAGATTCTGTCATTAATTACTCACCCTCGTGTCGTTCCAAACCCGTAAGACCTTCGTTCATCTTCAGAACACACATTAAGATATTTTTGATAAAATCCGAGAGCTCGCTGACCCTCCATAGACAGCAACGCAACTGAAATGTTGCAGGTCCAGAAACGTATGGGCATCGGTGGTTCAACCGTAATTTTACGAAGCTACGAGAACACTTTTTTGTGCACAAGCAAAGAAAACAATAATAACATAATTTATTCAACAATTCTTCTCCCCGAGTTACCGTCTTCCGCCATTTTGGAGAGTATCCACTGAACGTAAAAAACGTTGATTACGTTCAGTGAAAGCGCGCGCATGCTGACTCTTGTTTTGATTTTAATGTTTGTATCCCCCAGGATACGTCGCCTCGTTGGAGGTATAAATTCACTAAAAACAGAACACTTGTTTATCAACGCTAACATGGATTTAGTTCCTGAACGCTTTGGAATACAGACCAAAGGTTGGTCTCTTTTTAAAGAAGACACAAAATATTGAAATATTTTATAAAAATATGTTGCACTCTAAAAGTTCTATAAAATCAAAGCCATATGTCTAACCAAGTTATGTTCCAAATTTGAAGTTGATATCACCAAAATTGTGGTTCCTGTAAGTTTTTGGCACTATACCAAAATAACCACTTACACCCAAACTCCATTGAATTTTTTGCTGCAGGTTTCTGTCACAATATCACTTCTATTACAAAAAAATCACCAAATATGGAACCTTGACTGTCAGACTTTTCCAATGATATGTGTTTTGTCAAGATTACAAAAAGATTAGATTTTCAAAAACACAAGCCACAAAATCTCAGAGTCTATATATGTTTTTATATCTTTATTTATACCCCTAAAAGAGCGACGTATCTCCTGAAATACAAACATTTAGAGACCGATTACAAAATTTTTAGTAACAAAGTAACCTCATCTAAATATTCACAACAAACACTCTTTCAAAATGAAACCAAGAAATAAAACCTCAGTACATTAAGACGCATTCATTAACAAAACTGAACATTTTTGTTCCATTTTACTGAAATGTTATGTTTAAATATGCAAACGATACGTTATCTAGTTTAATATGCATTAATTTGCATCATTTTCCAGAGCTCTGAACATTGGATTAAACCAGGTTCAAAATGTGTGTTTTATTTGTTGACATATTAGAAGTAAGGATTTTTTACAGAGGTAATTTTGGGTTTCTCTTTTTATCACTAATAAATCAGAAACACTAATAAATCTGTTTTTTTTAAAGACATAAAATGTTATATAAATCAGGTGACTGACATATGAACAAACCCATTTGTAAAAACCTTCATAATAAACTAAAGTTTATATTTTGCAATTCTGATCTTTTTTCTCAGAATTTCAAGAACAAAGTCCAAATTATAGATATAATCTCAGAATTGTGAGATATAAACTTACAATTTGAGAAAAAGTGTCCAAATTATGAGAAAATTGTAAGAAACAAAGTCCAAATTGTAAAACAAAAACCCAGGATTGTGAGAAAAAGTCAAAAATTGTAAGATATAAGCTCAAAATTGTGAGAGAAAAGTCCAAATTGTGCAATAAAACTCCAAATTGTGAGAAAATGTCCAAATTGCAGGATATAAACTTAAAATTGTGAGGAAAAAAAAGTCAAAATTATGGAACAAAAACCTAGAATTGCTAAAAATTCTAAACTGTAGGATATATACACAAAATTGTGAGAAAAAGTCCAAATTGTAGGATATAAACTTAAAATTGTGAGGGAAAAAAGTCAAAATTCTGAGATTGAGATATAACCACAGAATTGTGAAGGGAACATTTTCAAATTGTGAGCTATAAAATCTAAATATGCAAATAAAAAACACAAAACTGCAAGAAAAACTTGCTAAATATAACTTATATTTTGAGTTTTAAAAATTGAAATAAAAATGCGATTCTCTCTTCATAGGCATTCAGCCAGCAGCCGCAGCTGCGTGTGAGATAAAAACTCTTGAAGGTACGATTTAAGCTTGACTTATGATCTTCATCTAAGCCTATTTTCTGTTTATAAAAGCACAGTAGTGACCCTGGACCACGAAACCAGTCATAAGGGTTAATTTTTTAAAATTGAGATGTATACATCATCTGAAAGCTGAATAAATAATCTTTCCATTGATGTATGGTTTGTTAGGATAGGACAATATCTGGCCGAGATACAACTATTTGAAAATCTGGAATCTGAGGGTGCAAAAAAATCTAAATATTGAGAAAATCATCTTTAAAATTGTCCAAATGAAATTCTTAGCAATGCATATTACTACTCAAAAATGAAGTTTTTATATATTTACAGTAGGAAATTTACTAAATATCTTCATGGAACATGATCTTTACTTAATATCCTAATGATTTTTGGCATAAAAGAAAAATTGTTAATTGTGACCCACACAATGTATTGTTGGCTATTGCTACAAATATACCCCAGCGACTCAACACTGCTTCTGTGCTCCAGGGTCACCAGTGTTCAGAAGATTACTTTGGAAATGTAATAGGTTACAGATTACAAGTTACCCTAACTAAAATGTAATAAATTGTGTAACTATTTCAATTACTTTATTAATGTAACTGATTACATTTGAAACACTGGCATCTAACCATGCCTTGGAGAAAAAAACTGTTAATCTTAAAAAACAAAGCACATACATATCTTTAAGAGAAATTCGGTGTGGAGCATGCCCCCGATCCATGCACTGTTCTCACCTTTTTTCCCCCCTTACCTGTTTGCATCTCTGAATTTAGTTACATGTTACTTCCCAAACTGAGGGTCACATATGTGTGCGGGTCAAAGACGAAAAAGGGTTTAAACATAAAAACAATAAGTGTAATACTGCTTTAAATTGTTGTTGTTTTTGTTTTTCTGAGCAAAAAAATAAATATACATTCTTCCCTGATTGACAGAAGAGAGCCACTAAAATGTTATTCAGTGTAACAATCTTGTCAGGCATATTTATTTACAACAAAAATCAATTTATGACACATCAAAAGACTAATTACTTTCACCCCAAATACTAATTAGTTGTTATTTTACATTTTTAAAATTTGCGTCTATCCTAGGTTTTTGCCCGTTTGTCAGTAAATTTTTTTTACTCATTTAAAACACAATCAAATTTAATATGCTCCCTTATTCTTTTATATATTTTAATATGTGCACGTGTTGTTTGAATTTTGACATAAATGTTGTGTTACACTGAATGACAACGTAACATTATTTCGACATTTTATTCTCCAAAAATGATTTGACACCTTAAAAGTAGACACTTCTCTTACATTTAATGTAGGGCTGCACAATTAATCGAATTTCTAATCGCGATTACAATTACGGATGCCACAATTACACAATCGTTCAAAGCAGCAATTAATCGTTCAAAGTCCACTTACAGTATGTTATTCTGTGTGCTTAAGATGCTTTTTTTTCTTTCTACATGTTATTTTAAGGGTTTTTCCATTGTTTTAATTTTAGTTTTAGTATAACATTATAATACTATTCAAATTTTTACTTTTTTTATCATTTAAAGAAGAAACAGTTCAGTTCGAGTGTTTTCAGCTTGTTTATTTTCATATAAAAATACGGCATGCAGTTGCATCAAACAATGGTATAGGCTACACATCATTCAATGTAAATTGTGATAATCGTAATTAATAATCGCAATTACAATAATCGACGATTATGATTTTTCAGCCCTAATTCTATGGACATAAAATCACTTTTGGAAATGTCTTTTGATGCGGACATCTTAATGTCTTTGACCCGTGTGTGATTATTCCTGCACAGCCGAGACGACGTACCACTCGCTGGAGGAAGGCATGGTGGAGTACTGCACCACCGAGACGCCGGTGACCGTGACCGCAGAGGCTCCGCTGGAGATGCTGGCGGCGCAGGCCGAGTGCAAACCGCAGGAACTGAAGAGCCGCATCACGCTCAACTCTGCCAAACTGCTGCAGGAGCACCGCGTCACCAACCTGCACGTGCGCGAGATCGCCCAGCACCTGGAGAACCAGAGCGACCTGCTGCAGATGATCCGCCGCTCGCAGGAGGCCCAGGCCTGCGCTCAGGAGAGACAAGCCCAGGCTCTGGAGGGAACGCAGGCCGCCCTGCTCGCCCTCATCCAGATGTTCAGACCCGCTCTGAAGGACTTGAGGAAGTTTCTGCAGAACGCCAACAGCCCACACACTGCGCCGCCGGCTGCCGCAGAGACTGGAGAAGGAGCGGAAAAAAACGTGCGGCCGCAGACAGAAGACGCACAATAGAGACCAGTGTGTGTGTGACGTCTGGTCTAGAATAGACTGTCAATTATTGTACAGCACGGTGCCTCAAAGAGTTTGTGCGTATATGAGTGAATGTGTCAGGGAGACTTTTATGAGCGTTTTAAAGAAGTGGCCAAATATAAATAGCTTTTGACAATTTGAAGTTACTGTAAAGTCTTTTCATTTACATTTGCATTTGGTTGCTTAAAAGTCAAGTTGCAACACATTTAATTTGATTGTTTTGGTGTGCAACTGACGCTAAAACAAACGTGCAAAACCTCAAAACCCAAATCTGGGTCAGAGACCTACAGAAAACACATTTTCTGTGCTCGTCAGCGACTTTGTGGAGGCTTTTGTTTCTTTAGCTTTTGAGAATTTGCCATTTTTATTTAAGTGTGCTGAATAAAGAAACTCTCCACACACGTACAAGTCTTCATTTGTGATGTATTGATGCTCGAGCATGTGCTCAAAAGTCCTGATGTGTGCCACAGGCTTGACTGTAAATATGTCCATTTACATTTGCAATTACTTTTGGGTATATTTGTATTTCATTCGAGTACTAAACAAGCTGATTAACTGTACTCGGATATATTTACAGTTGGAAAAACATACATTTACTATTTCATTTAGGCCTTTCATTTACATCACTAGACACCATGACTTAAATCTTTATGTAGCACAATCTTTATGTAGTATGTCAAGTATTTATTTATCCACTTACAGTATGTTATTCTGTGTGCTTAAGATGCTTTTTTTTCTTTCTACATGTTATTTTAAGGGTTTTTCCATTGTTTTAATTTTAGTTTTAGTATAACATTATAATACTATTCAAATTTTTACTTTTTTTATCATTTAAAGAAGAAACAGTTCAGTTCGAGTGTTTTCAGCTTGTTTATTTTCATATAAAAATACGGCATGCAGTTGCATCAAACAATGGTATAGGCTACACATCATTCAATGTAAATTGTGATAATCGTAATTAATAATCGCAATTACAATAATCGACGATTATGATTTTTCAGCCCTAATTCTATGGACATAAAATCACTTTTGGAAATGTCTTTTGATGCGGACATCTTAATGTCTTTGACCCGTGTGTGATTATTCCTGCACAGCCGAGACGACGTACCACTCGCTGGAGGAAGGCATGGTGGAGTACTGCACCACCGAGACGCCGGTGACCGTGACCGCAGAGGCTCCGCTGGAGATGCTGGCGGCGCAGGCCGAGTGCAAACCGCAGGAACTGAAGAGCCGCATCACGCTCAACTCTGCCAAACTGCTGCAGGAGCACCGCGTCACCAACCTGCACGTGCGCGAGATCGCCCAGCACCTGGAGAACCAGAGCGACCTGCTGCAGATGATCCGCCGCTCGCAGGAGGCCCAGGCCTGCGCTCAGGAGAGACAAGCCCAGGCTCTGGAGGGAACGCAGGCCGCCCTGCTCGCCCTCATCCAGATGTTCAGACCCGCTCTGAAGGACTTGAGGAAGTTTCTGCAGAACGCCAACAGCCCACACACTGCGCCGCCGGCTGCCGCAGAGACTGGAGAAGGAGCGGAAAAAAACGTGCGGCCGCAGACAGAAGACGCACAATAGAGACCAGTGTGTGTGTGACGTCTGGTCTAGAATAGACTGTCAATTATTGTACAGCACGGTGCCTCAAAGAGTTGTGTGTGTGAATGGGATTCAGGGATGCTGTGACTTTTATGAGCGTTTTAAAGAAGATTTGTTTTTTGCTTTTGACAATTAAAGTCGCTTCCATTTGGTTGCTTAAAAGTCAAGTTGCAAACACATTTAATTTCATTTCTGGTGTGCAATTGACCCTAAAACAAACATGCAAAACCCAAATCTGGATCAGAGACCTACAGAAAACTCAATTTTATGAGGAAATCCAGCGGACGGAAGACTTTGTGGAGGCTTTTGTTTCTTTAGCTTTTGAGAATTTGCCATTTTTATTTAAGTGTGCTGAATAAAGAAACTCTCCACACACGTACAAGTCTTCATTTGTGATGTATTGATGCTCGAGCATGTGCTCAAAAGTCCTGATGTGTGCCACAGGCTTGACTGTAAATATGTCCATTTACATTTGCAATTACTTTTGGGTATATTTGTATTTCATTCGAGTACTAAACAAGCTGATTAACTGTACTCGGATATATTTACAGTTGGAAAAACATACATTTACTATTTCATTTAGACCTTTCCACTGATCACCATGGCTTCAATCTTTATGTACTACATCAAGTATTTTTATCAAGTTTTTAGAAAAAAGTCATGGAAATGCAATAATGCATTTTTGCTTTAGCCTCTGGAGCAAATTGAAAAACAGACTTAATATTTCATATAGCAGTTTATTCTACTATAGTTCACTTCCGAGCCATTTTTGTGTGTAATGTACATCTGGTTATTCGTTTAACATTGAGTTTTCAATCCTTGTATTTGAAGCCTGGGTTATTTATTGATTATTATGCATTGAATGTGCTTTTAAAAAGGCAGGACTTTTGGCCAATAATGATTTTACTAAGTAAACGTATCGATATAGTTTATTATAAAGAGCTTCCGGACCCCACAGACTGCTGCTGCTGGAAATGTGTTGAATTTCACTCTTTAAAATATGTACAAACCCTGTTTAAAGAATTTTCAGTTATTATTAGGAGTTTTGATACAGTGTCCCTACCTTAATTAAACAATAAAACATAATTTCCCTTTAATTCTCACAGTCATAGTAGTTTGATACGCAGCTTACATGTAGGTGACTTTTTCAATAGAGGGAGACAAAGTGCGCCATATTTCATCTCCATACTTGTACTTTTGACATGGAGAAATGATCTTTTTTCCTTCATTTCTTGGACATATGTAATTTTGTGTTCACTCTGAAATACTAAAGTATTTTAATATAGACCGATATCAGTGTAATTGTATGTTCAAGTACTTTTAATAATAAAACAGCCAATAAAAATGTTTAATATATAAGTCATTTTTTTAATATATAAGTAAATGATTAAGACTATGTATATACTGCTACGTGTACTACATTAAGTTAACTGAGACTTGTTATAGCACTTGTATATCATTGCTCTTTTGTTGATTTTGATTGCTTCCGTTGTCCTCATTTGTAAGCCGCTTTGGATAAAATAATGTCTGCTAAATGACAATGTAAAATATATAGCAGTCAGAAGTTTTTGAACAGTAAGTTTTTTGCATTTATTTGATCCAAAGTACAGCAAAAACAGCAATATTTTGACTATTTGTTTTCTATGTGAATATATTTTCAAATGTAATTTATTGTTGTGATTTCAAAGCTGAGTTTTTAGCATCATTACTCCAGTCCTTTAGAAATCATTCTAATATTCTGATTTGCTGCTCAAAAAACATTTATTATAATGATGTTGAAAACAGCGGAGTATACATTTTTTTCAGGTTTCTTTGATGAAAGTTCAGAAGAGCAGCATTTATCTGAAATAGAAATATTTTGTAACATTATAAATGTCTTTTGATCAATTTAAAGCATCCTTGCTAAATAAAAGTATTAATTTCTATAATTTCCTTCCAACAACAAAAAAAAATATATATATACTGAGTCCAAGCTTTTGAATGGTATCGTGTATAAAATTACAAAAGCTTTTTTTTTTTCTCAGATAAATGCTGATCTTTGGATATTTCTATTCATCAAAGAATCCTGAAGATTCTGAACTGTTTTAAATATTGATAACAATAATAATAAAAATGTTTCTTGAACGGCAGATCAGCATATTATACTGATTTCTGAAGATCATGCGACGCTGAAGACTGGTGTTATGATGCTGAAAATACAGCTTTGATCACAGAAATAAATTACATTTGAATAGATATTCACATAGAAAACTGTTGTTTTAAATATTAAAAATATTTCACAATATTACTGCTTTTGCTGTATTTTGGATCAAATTAATGCAGGCTTGGTGAGCAGAAGAGACCTCTTTAAAAAACATTAAAAATCTTACTGTTCAAAATCTTTTGAATATATAGCCTATATATTGTATATGTATATATTGTATATATATCAGAATCAGCTTTATTCATCAGGTGTGCACACAAACACACGAGGAATTTGTTGTGTTTTTTTTAAAGGTGCTCCTGGTACATACATGCATGCATATACACACACATCTGACATGATAACAGAAAAAAACATTTAAATAGTAAGACTTAACAATAAATAATAATAATAATAATAATGTGTATGAATATGGAACAGTAGATTTATGTAGATTTGTGCATTATTTTCTCTATTTACAGCTGTATAAATAAAAACAATACAACCTTTATTAAATTTTTATCATTGGCAATATTAAAATAATCACTGACCTGAGATCAGTATGTTTGTGTGTGTGAGAGAGAGAGAGAGAGAGAGAGAGAGCAAAAGGGGCAATGGGTGCCAATCCCTGTAGAGAATCCAAACAAACTGATTCTCTCCTCATCCAAAGATGATCAAACATGACCCCCAGAGAGAGCTTCCACAGCCAGAAGACACCGTTAACAGCGTTCAGTTCAAACATTAGACTTCACTAGAGAATTCAACCTTCTCAAGCTCGAGTTCATGGCGTTTCTCGTCAAGAAGAAGAAGTTTAAGTTTCAGACTCATGTCACTCTGGAGGAGCTGACAGCCGTGCCTTTTGTCAATGGAGTTTTGTTCTGTAAGATCAGACTGCTGGATGGAGGAGATTTCACTGCTTCATCATCCAGGTAAATCACCTCTTCATCATCATCTTCATCATTTAGTTTATTTATGTAATTCTGGATGCTCTCACTCAAAGTGTGCAGTGCTGATAGTGTCAGATACTGTATTCATGCAACATGCTGCTCCAAAGTATTAAAGTTCTGAAAAGTACCAGGGAACTCTTTCTTTTTAATGTAAAACCATGGTACATTAATGTCTGTGCTATAGTAATGCAATCTGATGCCTTGTATTGCTATCACTGTACCACGGTACCACCACCACAGTGCTTTTATAAGCTATATGGTAAAAATAAATAGCAGTACTATGGTTCTTGTCTTAAAATGATGCTACTGCCGTGATACTTGTTGCTCTGCAGCTTTAAAATGAAAAGTTCTTTGCTTTAAATTCAGTAGGACCTTCTTGCGGTGTTTTTTAGTGTATTTGAGATGTTCTATTTTTGAGTCATATTTTGAATTATTCTTTATTTTTATATTTCCTGTTTTCGTTTTAGGTAAAGTTTTGGTATTTTTTTTTTTTTTTTTTTTAAACAAAAAATATATTTTTTTAAGTC